TGGGCGGGTTGAGTTGCTGTCGAAGGTGTCAGGCTGCGGGGGCTGCGGAGTCAGGTTTAGGTCTGGCAGCATTATCGCCGCAGGGGCCGTATCTTGCGGCATGGCCTCGAGCTCAAAGTCGCCACACTCCTCTAGCATCAAGCGCGCTTTGGCCAGACAGTTCCCCGCCGCGCGGACACAGTCCGTGGCAGCATCCACCAAGCGCTTCCCCTCATCGGGCAAAAAAACTAGTTCATCGTCGGGGGAGTGAGCTGGGCGGAAGGCGTCCCGCGCAGCGTACACTAGTTCAGATAGACGTTCGTACATAGCGTCTCTGGCTTGCTCCAACAACCCACTGCCCTGTGGGTCATGCTCACAAGCGGCCTCAATGACGGTTAGTAAAGCCCGGCAGGAGCGCACGGACTGCTCCGTGGTCACCACTAGTTCCGTTGACGACCGAGACTGCAGATGTAAGCCAATGAACGAGCCCAACACGCCAAGAAAGGCATCGTATGACGAGTTCAGTCGCTCCGACGCTAGATTGAGATTCCGGGCCGCGGCAGCGGGTCCCGAGTACGACACTCGGTGGGATATGGAGATTCGTTTGGTGGCCACCGAAACAGACCGTGCCGGCTGCGCATCGTCCATGTGGGTGGATGCTCGACTCATGTCTAGTCGGCTGCGGTTGAGCAGTCTGGACTCATTCCGCTCAGTCTCCCCCTCTGCCTCGGAGTGGGCATTTGCCGCTACTGGCTTCGTCTCGGTGGTCGTTCGAGGCGAAAGGTCGTAGCGTGTTGATTGTTGCTCCAATTCGGCGATCGTCCTACTCAATCCAACCTCCTCATTCCACACGTCGAGGAAACGAACGCCACGAGTCACAATTCGAAATGCCTTGAGCAGCATCTCATCCACCAAGTAGTCAATATCATCCTGCATCGTACTTTTGGTCGCAACTTCTTGGAACTTCTTGGTTGTTCGGACCAGAGACGATAGATCCGCCAGCAACCCTTTGCGGTTCCTGCGCAACCCGTCATGATTAGTGACCAGCATGCAGTCGCGGGTCAGGCATTCGGATTTTTGCTTGAGTGATGTCAGCCGAAAGGGGACACTTGATTTGCATGGCAGGAACCTACCAAGAGATAGCGAACCCCGGCAATCAAGCCTCGCACAAGGTCCTGATTGCCGGTCTCATTCATGGCAAGCCGGCACCCGCCTCGAATAATATCCCAGAAGTCAGTCAACGCTTTGAGCAGCGGGCGCATTTGTTGTTGATCATATGCTTCGCAATAATTCGTGGGTAACCAGCCCCTGGCGCCTGTATCTAGCAGGGTGCCATCGGCCCAGCCATTGGTGTGAACGGAGTGAACAAGGATAATGTCGCCCTGATCCAGCGGGAGGGTGACAGTTGACGGGGATACATTGCCCGACGGGTGGTAAGGGTAGAACGCGCGAAGATAATTGTGAAAGACATTCCTCGGTTTTTCCGAGTTGTCGTCTCCCCCACTGTAGGGCGTCAAAGGAGGGCTCATCTCGAGGCGATGTTGAGCCGAATAGGAGCGGTTCATGTGAAAGTTCGATTGCCCTTTTTCGATTTTTAGGGGGGCAATATGTCGTTTTGGTGATTCTAGAGGATCCATTCTCACTGCGGTACGCTTTGCAGCGATAGTCTGATGCCTCTTTGAGTTTGAGTGTAGGCTTGGTCAGACGCAGACGCACAGGTCACTGCCCAACTCTTAAGCGAATGGAGAAATGGAGAGCATTTCCAGCTAGGTCGTAATGAAGTGCAGTGCGAAAAGTCCGTCGAACGTTGAATTCAAGAAGAGATCATGCCAGCGGACCAAGCCAGGCGGGTGATCTCGAAAGGTTAACTGGTCGAGGTTACGACAATCGTGATGGATACCTGTCCAAGGGGTTAGTCAGAGAGCACAGGGTGCGAGCCTTTCACCCACGTCAGTAGTGACGGCGTGCTTTTCTTGGTAGAGGGCTGCCAGGAGTGTTTGGGAGGATGTTTGGGAGGGGATGGATGGTTCTGCATATCTCCCGGAGAATGCCCTAATCCTGGGAAGAAGCCTGGAAGGAATGCTGGGGAAGGGCAACCGGTTGCTAACGCACCTACGACGCGATCTCGAAGAACGAAGGATCTGATGAAAGGAGCGTGACTGTGAGAGTACAATGAAGATTGGTGGTTCGAAGGGCGAGTCGATGGAGTGCCAGTAGTTAAAGACACAATCCTTGATGCCGGATCAAAAACGAGGAGCGAGGTTGCGCACGAGGGCGGGGAGATTGCAGTGCTTTCGAAAGTAGGGACAACAAACAATCAATCCCAAATAAGGGAACGGTAGGGCGAATAACAGCCGCGGGCTCTCAAGGTCTCGATTGCCGAAGTCAATTTCTTATCTTATTGCAGGGACCAGCGTGCAACGAGGGTCGTGGTGGAGGGGTTTCAAACGCAAGGACCACGATGCGACCCCAAAAAGGACAGGGCAAGTTGAGCAAGACCTTCCGGGCGTGTGAGCGAGAGCACGGTCCGGGACAACGAATGCGAGGTTGATCGACGCAGATTGCAGTGACAATGACGACAGAGCGCGAGCGCGATCGTTTGAGGCGGGTTGGTTGAGGAGACACGCAAGGGCCGTGTCGAATCTAAGACAGGACAGAGCCAGTAGCACCACTGAAAGAGCCCAAATGAATGCGATGCAGACCGTAACGCCCGAGGGTGTAGATTTGGTATCGAGTCTTCCAATTGCCACCAGCAGCAATGAATGAATGAATGATCGCAATCTCCACGGCGGTGGGTGGTCGCAAGACGACTTACTGCAGGTATAATATTTATGCAATGCGGCACAAGTAAATGCGGTATAGTAATACAGTGAGTAAGCTGAGATCTGTACTGAAGAGGGAACGAAAGGGAAAGGAAGGTCGATAAAACAGCGGCGGAAAGAGAGAGGGAGTGGGAGTGAGAAGAAGAAGAGAGAGTTGTGTGTGTGTGTGTGTGTGTGTGTGTTGGTGTGTGTATGTGGAGGAGTGGACGATGTAAAAGTGATAATATGAGAGGGGAGGGGTTGAAAAGAGTTTCCAGGTTAGAAGAGGGAGGAGCCCAAAGAAGCAATTGAGGAGGGGGATCGGACAGAGGCAAACCACCGGGCCAGGAGTTCTCCAGACTCCAAACTAGATCACAGTAGTGTAGGCACTTGTAAATGTCCTACAATTTAGTCGTTAATTTTTTAATTTTCTTTTTAGTTAGTTCAGAGGTTTAGTCGACGAGGTGACGGGGTCTAGAGAGTTCTAGGAAGGCGAATAGTGGCTCCAAAGGTGGTTTATTCAGTATCCACAGAACCGGTGGATATTCCAGCAGCACATCCCTGACTCAATCGAGACGTGGAGCAGGCGATCAGTTCCCCGTATGTGGGTTTCTTTTGGGTAAAAGGACAAGAATTTGGGGTAGGCGATCAAGAGACCGTGGACAATAGAAAGAGTGAGAGTATGTGTATGAGTGAGAAGAAGAAGGTTACTACACACAATTGGCCCTTTATTTAATGCAGCACATAGTAACAACCCAAGGACTCTGTAGTCTGTAGTCCGTCTGTAGGTAACTTAGTGGTAAGGCAAAAAGAAAGGATGAAGGATTGTGATAAGGATAAACCGTCCCGGCCTGTCAGAATCATTACTGTTAATATATATCTCTCCCCATGGCCTTGTCACATTGCGCACCACGTCTCTCTTCAGTATTTCCCGTGCACTTTCCCCGGCTCCAGTCTAGAGCATACCCTTTTTTTTTTGGAACTTGTCTTTTCTCCATTGTTCTTGTTTTTTTATTTACTTCTATTTTATTTCATTCTTATTTTCATTATCTCTATTGCTCCACCTCTTCCTTGTCAAGTTCGATCTCAAAGATTACTTGTCTCTGATGTTACTCCCCAATTTCAAGGATCCTTTTTTAAAATTTCCCATTCTAGGTTGATCTGCTCTCTTGGCCGCCAGATGCAGCTAACCTTTTGAGTCCCGCCTAAACGGTTAGGATCTGCCCGCCGCAACCCAGGCAGCTCTTCCCAGCACCAACCCTGATATCATGGAGGTGCTCCCTATTGGTTTCAAACTGGGCGTGATGGGTTCAGGGCATACAAAATTCGATCCCGATGCTTGTGCTGGATTAATTATTGCCCAAGATACTTGGTAAACCTCGATAATGTGAACATTTAGCTGCAGCGAGTCTTCCTAAGCGGCATATGGGATGCTTAGCTCCACGCCTCAGGTACTGTACTGTACCTAGTGTACGTACTGTCCCTCGCTCAGTGTGATGACGGATTGCCTGATCAGGTAACAAGCTCCCGGGCGGCGGAATGATGGTGATTGATCAAGAACAATGCATTTCCCTCGATTATGAGCAACGGTCGCCATCAGTAAGAGAGTTAGTCTTCCGTACTTTGTGTGGAGGTATTAGTACTAATTGAAATTGTAACCTAGCAACTGTGACTGTGCCAGATGGAAGAGTGGCTCTGGAGGAAAACGACAAAAAAAACCAAAGAGAAAAAAATAAGATGAGAAGGCGAATACATTGGCGAATACATATGTACTAAAATAAGAATAACCACGGGCCCATCCCCTGGCCACTCAGCAAACAGAATACAAATTAATGTTAATATCAGCATTTAATTGCTCCCTTTTCCTGGATGTAGGATGCAGTCAGCTAAACCGGTTTTGCGCTGTCCCACCGAGAGGTGTGTGTGAGAGTGTGAGATGACCTGCATTGATGCCGACAGGGGGGGGGGGGGGGGTCCGAGTGGTGGTGGTGGTGGTGGTGGTAGTGGTACTTTTGGGAAAGGAGGGAGGGAGTGGAGCAGAAGCGGCCTGTCTGTGACTGCCCAGCATCTGGGGCCAGGCACCTTTTTTTTTGGCTTGGGGTTTCTCGGTCTCTCTCGGTCTCTCCCTTCCTTCCTTCCTTCCTTCCCCCCTTCTCTATCTACCTCTGCCACTGACTTTGATAAACTCTTAGACTCAAGGAATTGGGTCGCTCACCGAATTTTCATGTTCATATCTAATCTTCAAAAACCTAACTAGCTGGTGGTCTGGCAGAAGCTTATGATGTGGAAATCTTTGACTCTCCCAGGGGCCCCAGGCCACCAAAATCTCCATGGTGGCAAAGCTAACTTACCGTGTAAACCACTGATCCCTTTTCGCAATATACATACTAGGTAGTATTTACTCCTTTACTTCCCGTGGACTCTCTGGCATGGCACTCTCGGGAGGATGATTCTCTTGAATTGCCTCAGCTCCTTTCGGTAGAAGAAAAAAAGCCAGATACTATCCAGAGGGCAATAGTAAGTAGGGCACAGCACATGAAGGTACCTGTACAAACCCCCAAGTCCCGATCATCAATAAAGCCAAAAATTGGGGTCTTGGTTCCAAGGTTCCCGGAGAGCGCGCGATCGGCAATGACAGTTTCCATACCATTGGAACCGTACAAGTACTCCGTAAACTGATCACGATATTCCGGTAACTGTACTCCGTTAACTGTTGTTGATCCGTCTGCCAAACCGTAAGTCCATCCTCCACCCCGGCCCATAGTAGGCAATTTAAACTCCGGGAAGTCCCTCAATCGGGTCGTACTCCTCTCGCCTTGAGGGGCTGATGTGTGCGCCGTGAGAGAAATTCTCCGTAGCCTTTGCTTGAGGTACGGTATCTGTCTCCTGGTGTCTGTGATTTGTTATTTGTCCATTGTGGTCACGATTACATTTTGCCATGTGGTTCACTGGGCATACATCTCGATGGCAATCTCAATATTTGGCTAGTGACCATAGCTGACAGTTCGACCGCACGGCATAGTTTATCCTCACTAGTGCTAGACAAGCCCATTCATGGGCTGAAGCATGTTAACTTTAACCAAATCCCACTCCGGTCTTCCGCCGAGAAAGCACCGCGCACAGTATACTGGAATATTGCCTCACTATTGGGGTTGGACAATCAGTCGGGTGGAAAGATGGAAGAAGAATTGCGACCGCAAGTTCTGGGAATGAGCAAGTACTGTACTGTGTACTCCGTACCTCGTACGAAATAGATAGATAGATTCACAGCGTCACTTGGGCATCGAGTGACACGTCGGATGTCACCGAATAAAGAAGGGAAGGATACATCTTGACCCACCATAGCTGAACCTCCAAGGACGTGGCAAATGTACGTGCTGTAGTAGTAAGTACTTCCGTCGTTTCACGCATATCCTGTTGCTAGACATGGACCACATGACTCGATTGAGCGACGACCGAGACAGCTATCGCAAGGATAACAAAGGAAGTTGTTTGTTGCTCCACTCGATATCAGACCAGTCAACGTCAAGTGTAAGCGTGTCCAATGAACGACCATGTGTTCTCCCGTACCTGCAGGTAGTAGGTAGTAAACCATGTCTAGGGTGCAGCTCGCTACCAAGCCCGATGGACAGCAACTTACTCCGTACCACCCTGATGTCTGCCGGCAGCAAAGCTCACTCTCGAGACGATCGCACCACATCCAGGCTATTTGTCAGTGACTCCATCCAGGAATGTGCATTGTACGGTACTCCAGTACTCAGGTCCGATGCAATGGTTCGTATTCATCCGTCCCTTGACACCTCCCCCCTCCCCACCCCGGATCGTCGAGGGCCATGGGTAATCGGCAATGCAAGGGAAACGGTCTGCTCAACTTTCAGATAGCCTTCGAGATTTGTACGCTGCGATATATGGAGGAACTGCATTGCTCAATTATGCATCGAAGCCGATCGGCCTTATGTTCTCTCTTTCGGTGGCGTGATTCGAATATGGATAGTGTTGAACTCTAATGCCATGCGAAACACCGCCGCCTCCGTGGTCGGCCCGGCAATCATTTGGAGAAGCTCGCCGGGGCGTGACTGACAGCTGACAGACGACCTACGTAGCTGGAGACTACCCGGCAGGTACTAGTTAGCTAGAGGTATTGGAGGTGTAAGCACTGCCCATTCTACTTGGTATAGACACCGTTCTCTCCTTTGGCCGCATTTGTCCACATATGACACTTACGAACTCGGTTCCCGGGTCTGATCGCCACAAGCCACTCAAAAGATAGAATTGCGGAGAAGTCGATCATGTCCCAGACACTCCAGATCCTTTTTCGGACCTTGCGTCGACGGGAGAGACTCTACGTAATACCGTATGGGGTAACTAAGTTCCACAGGGTTCATGGTGATTTCCAGGTTGCCCACGCAAGCAAAAGAAATAGTCGTCCCCGTGCTGATAAGGTTCGTTCTGGTAAGGGACAGACAATCCGACGGCATATCAAACCTTACCACTAACTACCCATTGCCCAAAGATAACTACCCCGTAATCCAGTCAAAAATGTGACAGGTCGCAACTATCACCACCCGGATGGGATGGCATCGACGAGGCTGTGATAAGTGAAGGTAGCGCGGGTTGATAGTGCGTGTCAAAGCGTCATTTTGTGCTTTCGCAAGCAAGAGATGTCGAAGTAGAGCCTTGGAGATTGGATGACATCCCATTGTTGCTCCATTTGCATCAAGTCCAGACCCTAAGTAGTGCCAGGCTGAGTCTAAGATGGCCTAAGATGCCGCTAAAGGATGATCTATACTCCAAGAGGAACACGCCAATGAGTTTAGTGTCAGTAGATCACAATCCTCCAGGATCAGACAAAGAGCTGCCCATCATCCAAACGAGAAAACAAGCCGGTCGGAATGGTGGTTCCAAATGAGCCTAGGAACAACACGTGCTCGTCGTTGTATGCGGGACTAACGATGGGAGGCCTAGAAGCGATTGGGCCAGAGGCCAACGGTGAGGGTCAGTGCTGTTTGGGATCCTGAGTGACCACTGATCACGATCGACCGTTGACCGACTCTTGCACTTGAGTATACAGCCAAAAGTGGCAAGATACGAGGATGGAGGTAACTGCAAAGAGACTTCCTGTAGTTAATTGTGTCGAGAGAGTTTGAGGGCCAAGATCGATCTTGGGTTCTGAGACAGAGTCAGGAGGGTGGTGGAGTATGGTCATGGGAAGGCTGGGATGGGAGCCTCCACAATCCAGGCCGCTTGCGACTGAAGCAGCATATACTAGTTACTGAATACCAACGGTTTCACACTGCGCAGAGACTTCGCAGCCTAAATGTCCGTCAGCTTCCGCTCATCCTCCGTCATTCGTGCTCAGGGACGGGATCTGCTGTCAGAGCGAATTACCGAGACAACTGCGTCCCCCACCGCGGAAGCCGTACTCTACCACTCTAAGCGTAGCGACACGGGACGGCGCGACATGGCGTAAGTGCTTCTCTTTGATCTCCTTTAGCCTGGCCAGATTAGAACAATGAATGAACGGAGGCGGACTCGGAAGGAATGAGAGACCGGAGAGATAGGAGACACGGGCGGTGTGCAGTCCGCGTGTCATCGGTTGAACACAAGACATCGCTTGTCTTTTGTGCTGCTGCTGCATTCTGTTCTAGATATCGTTGTCTCCTCCGACTAAAGGAAAGCGGGGAAGGAGGTACGCGACAATGGTAAGTAGAGACAGATAGGGGTAAGGAGGAAGGAAGTAGAAGAGTCCGACTCAGGGGTTCAAGAGAAGGAATCGTTGTGAAAAGTGAAAACATCCACACAAGGCAGAATCCTATCGCGACCGAGATCTTGTATGCCTGGTATCTCAGGAATCAATCACGTGGCTTGTCTCACTCAGTGGTCTCGCCGACTAAGATATCCCCTCTCGAAGCTGAGTCCAAGTAACGTTATAGTCATTTCATCCGTTTCCTAAGACACTCAAATACTCTCATACTCACTATCATAACAACTGCCTGGACTGTGTTTGACCAGCGAATAGTCTAGTCCTTCCCCAGCCAAATGTGGGCCGTACAGTACAGATTCACTGAAGGATTCCAGCATCGGTTCTACGGTACGAATTTTTTGCCACCTGCGGATTACTCGATATATCGAAATACAACTGACTCAATTCTCCGTAGAACCTTCGAAGAATTCAGGTTCAGTGGCCTCCTCTACTCCATCTCTTTTGTGGAGCCGCTCCCCGACCATTGGATCACATCTGGGTCACGAACTATGGGTCTGCATCGAGTTTCAAAGTTCTGATCTGGCTTCACGCAATGGCGCGAAGAATAGAGCTGGGAAAGCTCGGGGCGTGGAGGGCGTGGTTCAAAAGCAGCCCCTGTTGACGGACAGCATGGTGGTCGTCTCCTGTACCCACGCTTGGGCGTCAAAGGTACGTACGTAAAGCCGGGATTATGAAGCGTGTGTTTGTCGCTCAGGAGAACATACGAGTCAACACATGTACCTGTTTCAAAGGAGGCAATCAAAGCCAGCAACCTCAACGAAGATGGTGCAATTCACACGCAGCCACGCTCGGCTCGGGGAATGCATCACCGGCAGCAGATTGTGGATGGGTGGACCCTCACCTTCAGCTAGTGCCGAGTAGTATGCCGACGAACGCATTAGTGATATACACGGACCAATGCCTCGCGTGTATCTCCGCTCATTGCTGATCGCTCAATCCTGCACGAGCGACTGCGCGACGTGAAGAATCAGGGTCAAATTGGGATTCTGCAGGTGTACGTGAAGTCTTGGGTTTCGCGCCTGGGCGGGCTGCCTTGATAGGATATTCAGCCGAAGGATCAGCGTGTACTTGATTGGCAGCTGTCAGTTTGCTATGATCAGTCAGTGTGGAGTGCAGACAGGGCTGGCTGCACTCATGAACGGAAGACTTGCTGGGTTTGGCTTGACCTGCGGTGATGATGAGAAGCAGGGTGCGACTGAAGCTGCCGTCAATCAAAGCATCCCTACATGCTTGAGGTTGCGGTGAGAGAGGTCAGGCATCACCATTGTGATCGAGACCCTTGTCGTACAAGCAATCCGGACTCGATGTCAATACCGCACGACGGAAAACGGGACAGGCCAGGGCGTGCTGCAAGACAACCTGATCCCCAGTAGTCTCATCTCCAGAGACTGAAGAAGACCTTGAGGAGAAGTGCCGGGTCTGCCGGTAAATATTCCGTGACTGGGAGTCGCCTTCTGTCTGGTTACATTGTTGGAAGACGCTGCTCAACATTGCAGACCAGCACTTGCCGGCCGTCGGAGGCTAGAAGTAAGACTAATGCAGCTCTCGCATCGGGAGAGGGGCCATGGCAAATAAGTCAAAGCCCGAGCACGAGTAATCGTGCAGACTCACTCGTGGAAGAATTGCCAATTGCCCAACTGCCCAACTGCCCACTGGAAACGGGACAATTGACAGCTGCTGCCCCCTTTCACGTGCCGTGTGACTTTGAATGCAGAGGAGAGTGCATTGTCACATCGGGGCGGGGCTTGTTGCACACTTAGGGCGATCGGAGTTGGAATACTCGGGCTAACTATTCTTAGATAATATCAATTCGTCAGTGGTTTGCAATTGTGCAGCATGCAGAAAAAAAGCTGCAGAAAAACTTGGAACTACGCGTGCGCGGAACCGGTTGCTACAGATGTAGTCCTGCAGTGTCCGACTTGATCAATGTTCAAGCAAACATGAAGAAATCGGGCTTAAATCTACAAAGTACCCACACTATGCTTCTACATAGTTGGACAGCTTAAAACGTATCAATTATCAGGACGATGACCTGGCGCGACTCGCCCAGATAAACTCCCGGAACGCACCCGAGGTTCTCACTAACGGTATGACCCACGATATAGAATGTACTTGAGGCAATTGAGTACCTGGTATAATCATTATTCTCCCATTACCATATACAGTTCAAGCTTGGAGAAAGCAATCGCGTAAATCCGAGAATTATCCCACGTCGTCAACTCCAGAGACACCATGCAAAAACACCATACATACATACCTCCCCCCTCCGTCTTTCCCTCATTGCCACTCCCTTGTTTGAAGGTATTCCCCTCACCACCCCTACACCTTCATCCCTTTCCTCCAAACTGATTTCAGGAAAGCAGCATAAGAAGGCCTACAAGGTCAATCTGATGAAAGCTCTTCCTGTCTTCCAACCCTGCGACGCGGCACACACCCTTTAGAAATCCCACTCCTCTCCTGCCAAACCACGAGCCTTACCACGAGCCTTACCACGAGCCTTACCACGAGCCTTACCACACTCCCCTTTGTGAAACTCAACCCCTTCCAAAAAAAATGATGGAGGTCTCTCTCACATCCCTCATCACCACGGTCCTGACCCTCACTCTCGCATCAACCGTCGTCGCCCTCCCTCTCCCCGAATTCCTTCCCTGGGCGCTTGTGGATACCGTCTTGCCGGGCTCGGGGATCCCCAAAGCCGTGGAAAAGCTGGGAACAGGGTTTCAGTGATGGTCTGTAGCCCTAAGGGCCAAGAAACGCGAGGTGAGGATTTAGTTCGGTTGTGTGAAGGGGTGTGGGTGGTCTACATTTAGGCTAAGAGGTTCGGATTTTGATTCTAGTTTACGAAACACGTCGCGAGAATGATCCCAGGATACTGGCAGCTGGGCTCGCAATTCAGCATATACGTGATCAAGAGACTGACGGACCATGATGAGCTCAAGCAAAAGTGCTGGACTAGATGGCCGACCGATCGATTCGCAAGGGAAACGGCGAGGGCAACCTTACTGTTGGCCCACAGGCAATTCATATCGCTGTGAGGATGTATATATAACACATTTGGCGAATTGGTATCTATGCGAGTAGCCGTTACGGCAGGATACTTGTCGCTCCTTTCTAGAGTAGTCACGTTCTCCCTCAGGGTAAGTGGCATTTTCTTCTGTGGGAGCTTGATGGGTAGCCTGGTGGGCTGGTCATACACTGGAACCAGGAGGTCTGATCTGCATGTACGCAGAATGGTGCTTGGCAAGAGGAAATCACAACTTGAGATCAGATCGGAGAAGGTACAATGCAATGCTCGATGCTAAATAGTCGACCCACGACGGACACCGTACTGTACAGCCCATCTTCAACAGCCTCTATTAGAATAGACCTTCCATATCCAAGTCAAGAAACTCTGGATTCCCAACCGCCATATCAGCAGCGTTCAAAACATCATCAATACTCGTATCCAGTCCACTCGACGATTCAAGTCCCATACCACCCATGGTCTGACCTCCGTCCATTCCCACCGCAGCCGCAGCCGCCGCATTGTCCAACATGCGATTGAGATTTGCCGCGTCGTCATCAGTGACACCATGCCCGGATGCTCCCTGTGGGTCGAGATCCATCTGCCCAGGGCCTCCAACGCCAAGCTGCATGTGCTGAATGATATTATTCATATCCAAATTTGGGACCTGGGCCGGTGGGGTCATGAGTGCGTTTACCCGCCGATACAGCCGGACGATGACTTCAGCGCGTAATGGATTCTTTTCGGAAATCTTCGGTATGTTGTCATGAAGTAGATTGAGAGCGCTCCGGAGGGTGAGAATCGGGCATCGTGGGAAGGATTCCTTGGTAGGATCTAGGGGCTGGTGAGAGTGATTGTTCTGGTCGATGGCAAAGTACTCGGCCATAGGTGCGCAAATCAGCGTCGCTGCAACATCGAGGGCTATATCACCGCTGCCAGTCTCGGTCTGCAACTTGAGTTCTTCAACCAAGGCCCCTAGAACGCGCGTGGCCCCAAGAAGCAGAACGCCAGTCACGAGTTGTCGGTGCGTGTAAGAGTGCGGTGCAACACTGACGTGCGGGCTTGCGCTCCACAGTACAAGGGACTGGAAGGCACTCCGTATACTGCCTAGAAGCCCTCCAGGCGAATGTGATGTCCACGAGTCTAGCTCACTCCGGTGACAGCTGCCGCTTCGCTCGAAAGATAAGCATGGTTCGAGTGCATCAAGGATCGGCTTGATGTCCGTACGAGACGGGTGTCGGGCACGGACATCCTTCAATTGTTCCTCCAGCCCGCGTGCAGTCATGTTCAAGACGGTGCGATGTATCTCTTTGGCTTCGCCTGATATCGAGGTGGGACTGATCAGGGAATGTAAAGCTTTCAAGGGGATCGAAGGGTCGCCCTCCGTTTCCCATATGTGGTTACCCAGCCAATTTAAGGCCAGAACAAGCGATGGAAGAAGAAACGGTTCGAGGAGATCTAGTCTGTGTCAGTCCAGTTCAAAACGCACGTTAACGGAGGGAATGCATTACATTCAGCTCCACCTTTGAGTGTGTCGAATTCCAATTTCCCGGCCTCGCACGCCCCAAGACTTTGGCTGAACAGAGTAGCAACAAGAAGATAAAACTCCTGCGGGCTACATGCCGACATTGTCTCTTCGCTGATGCCTTCGGCGATGAATAAAGCCGTGATCCAGCCCCCCAAGTTCTTGTTTTGCTTGTCGCTCAGAGAATCCAGTTTCTGACTGCATGAGCCACTCCCAAGAATTTGCAGAACAAATGAATTGCTGCCACCAAGTCCAAGGTCCTGTGCTCGCAAGCCATACCGATATGTGAAGGCGAGCACTAACAGTAAGATGCTACCAAACTCGTCGTAGACAGGCTGGCTTTCTCCTTGATCCTCATCCCAATGCCAGGCATCCAGCAATGAGCACAACGGTTGCAGCACCTGTTTTGTGCTTCGAAACAACAGAATGACATCCATAGCCTGGGGCCGGCGAGAGAGTGAGTTGCAGATATTCTTCAATGTCATCGTTTCCTTTTGATTGCAAAGGTTGTGCATGACCTACGCACGTCAGCTAAGGTTTCGCAAATTCTCAATTCGGAAAGGGTTCGAGGGTCCGTACCTCGATGATCGCGCCAACAATTGCACCGGCGTTTCCCTCCATAGACTCGATCTCACCTATCAAGTGCTCGGCTCGTTCCGGGTTAGCATTGATCTGGTTGACAAGATCATCTTTGTTATACGGCCCCCCTACAGGGAGTGTTTGCATAGGATTTTCTCCAAGAAGTCGCTCGATGCTGGATTCAGGGATCAATTTGTGCGAGGCGCAAGCGAAAAGAAATTCCTGCCTCACGTCCGAAAGAGCAGTGTTGCTTTGCATGGTAAACATCTGCGAAAAGGATGGAAACGTATTTGGATCTAGTCGACCCAGCGCATGACTGATACATAGTTCCATCTGTAAGGTAACCATAGATGCTGCCAGCATGGCGGCAAAAAAGGCAGGTAGTTTGTTCACGAGGAACGATCGAAATAGAAACATCGACCGGTTGGACTCGCTACGGTAGCTTGCGTTCGAAAGCACGTCAAATGCTGCAGTGATAATTTCCTCAATAAGAACTTCATAATGACCCTGTTGCAGTTAGTGCGATTGTCGCGCTGCGCCTTGGACAACCCACTCACCCCATATCTGTTCGACAAGTAGTTCAGAAGCATGCTGTCATCAACCAAAGGACGTCCTACCAGCTAAAACCTAGTCAGTATCAAGCTACTGAACGTGTGTGACGTATACGTACCATCGCATTGATATAGACGAAGAGGCCAGCTCTCGAATTGATCATAGGACCGTCCATAACTGACGCCTCGAACTGAAGCGCATTGACGTTGACACCTTCCATCATCGAGACATCCAACGGCTTAGCCGGAGGTTCACCGTAAAGGTTGAACTCTTTCTGCAGGCTGTCAAGTCGATTACGAAGTGGTAGTGATACTTCAACGCAGATGGGAAGGTATGCCGACAGAGCCTGTCCCAGTTTTACTTTCAAGGCTGTATTATCCTGTCAGTAGTGGAATAGTGAAGCATGGATATCTGAGCCTACCTTCCTGGGAGTCGGCTGAAAGGACCTCAAGTCCTTTCGTAGTGCCCGACAAAGCAGCAAGCAAGATACCCAAGGACTCGAACAGCGAAACTGCGTCGGGAGAACTGATTAAGCCTGGGTTCTGATGACCAGAATCAATATGACTGCTGTTCCAGGCCACAACAGCTTGGATCCAGTCGATGATAGCGGTGAAGATTGATATCGCTTCTGAAAATGACTTGGGGACACTGCCGGTAGAGACGGACAGCATAGCATCCTGGACAACTCTGATGTCCGTCATGAGAGTGTAGCAACTTCGACTCTTCTTGCCCGGATAGACCTCCACCGATGACGATTGATGTTTGTCGTGGATTGAAGAATGCTTTAGAAGGGCATTCAACACGGTCGACGTCTGGACAAGGCCCATCTTGCAAAGACAGTCTATGTACAGCGGAAGAAGCGGGTCCCACTTGATCCCTGTGCTAAGGCGCGTCTCAAGTAGCACATCTAGCAGCAGGGCTTCAGTGATTGGGCAGCGCTGCAACAGTAGTCGCGATAGGCTTTTGAACTCTGCTGCGTCGATTCGATGCAACAAGCATCGATGGAGGAAAACCCCCCATTGTTCGGAAGAAGTCATGTTCCAGATCGATCTGCTTGATTTGCTTGATACTCGGGGGTTGCGGGGAGCATAGCACAAATAGCAGTGTGGAAGCTTCGATTCATACAAAAGAGTTGACTACCCTGGCATTATTGCTCGACATCGCGACATGGTCTGTCCCCGAGCTTGTTGATCCCGGGAGACAACTTTAGCTGCAATCATTGTTTAGACGTCAGGTGCTCATCACGTGGGCTTATGTAACACATACATCACGTGACTTGACTGTGGTCACTGCGCGGCATTGGCATCGTATGTGACAAACAAGCATCCGCTTTCTTTTAGATACTTGCCGACCGGACGGAGAGCTGTCTCGTACGCGGAGGCCTTCGCAAGCGTGTATTTGCCAAGACTTTGAAAACATTGGCGATGCACCTCGATATCTGAAACAACAAGCCGGAGACGGCTGGATCTGGAGATAAAGCCGGCATCCATCGTAGATATACCCTATCCACCTCAATAATGACGCGTCGAAGCATATGGATCTCCAATGGCATGAATCATGTATGCTCCAGTGAGAAGGGCATTAAGCCCGGTGACCTTGAGGTCAGGTTGCGCCTGTGTTTTGCAGGTACTGTTCTGTACTACCTACTACAAGATCCAAGGCCATTTCCGACGTCTCGGAGTTTGACCGTATGGCGTCGGAACTGAGGGTCTGCCGTCGGGAGCTTCCCAAACGAGAAGAAGACAAAAAACAATCGTGGACAGTACTAACAGTATAGGTACTAGGTACGGAGTACTCAGTGACAGTACAGTTTCTTTAGGTACCTATTCTGCCACTACCTCTTCATAATAAATATTACAGTTACACCGAAAACAGATATCTCGTCAGAGTCTCGATCTAGGTTGGTCAGAAGACGATCATGCACTCTGTATGGGTAATCATCACTGCACTCGAGCTCATCAGCAATGTCTAGGGCAAACGGCAATCAATCAACTGGTGGGAAGCTGGATTCCGGGGGCTAACGATCCATTGCCATTAGCTCTTTGATAGCTTCGGCACTCAGCCGTAAGAATTGGGGCCTGGAGGGGGTGTTTCAGTTCGGTTGCTTAGGGCTAGACCGTTGTGAGGTATTATTTCCGGTTATAATGTCATTGGCTCTTAAATCGCATCGAATAGCACCCCAACCGCCACTTTGCAATATGGCCGTAGATCATATCCAATCATTGGTGTGTCTGACTCGCCAGGCATACTATAATGGGGCCACATGGCTTGCGTGCTTTATGATAGATAGAATGCCGTAGCAGTCATAGGCATGACCAAATATCAACCTTGGTTCTTGGTCAGCCTGCCAACATAGGGGTCGGGTTAGGGGATCGCTGGTTAGCTTCGTGTTCCAGAGCTGTGGAGTCGCAAGGCACTGTAGAGTACAACACTGTCATATAAAAGGTAGACACATTAAGGTTGAGGCTAAAAGATGGCATTTCTAGGGTTTAACCAGTAGCAATTTTACTCGTATCTGCTTGAAAGTTTATGTTAGGCACAACAATGCTTGGGGTCCGTGTAAATTCTCAGTTGAAAGGCACAAGGCATAAGACTGGGGCAAGGCCGCGCCGGTGTGGATGATGTGAGGAGTAGTCCACAACAGGCAGATTGGGCGCTCAGACAGTCACCATCGTAGAGAACATCTAGAAAATTGCATCTTTCAGTTTTTATGAGTTAGCAGAGTAGGGGGCTGTATTGTGTGGTAATAGCACCTGAAGGAAAGACACTGGAGATGTGGCGTAATCGGTCGCTAGGCTTGAGAGACCTACTCCGTAGATTTTATTAAATAGTTGCAATCAGCTCAGAAAGTCCATGGCGTGATGAACGCCGAGATTCCCGCCCAGGTCGAATTACTCCATAGCTAAGGTTCATCGCAGAAGGCTCACTTTTCTGTCTTTGCATTCTGGCAATCGAATAATTAGCTACTAGGTCAAGGGCCCTGTAATGTCAACAACCGTGTCACCTTCATGAGGCCGCTCTCGAACCTGATATGTCAGCAAAACGACAGGTAACTACTAGGTAGTTAGTTAGTTTATGCTTTGGTTCAAGTCGATCATATGTCTGTTCAGCACCATTCGATCACAGATGACGCTACAAGTACATACTCGAACATTTCCCGTATAACCACCTTGGGTGTACCGACAATCCCCCTGCTGCTGATTGAAGCTTCAAAACATGCATTGATATGTGGCTAGTGCCAACTAGTGGCAATAAGTTCACAGTCCAGAGCTGAAAACAGGCAATGTGCCACGGTGGCAAAGCATTCTGTGGCTGCACTGCCGATCCTGCGGCGTCGGCGAGTCCGTATTGTATCCCCACCTCACTTACTGCCTGCCCACTTCGCTCCGCTGTGTGAGGCTGTATTCGTGCACTATGGATGTGGCTGAGAAGGAGGATTCCCATCGATCTGGAACGAGAGGTTAACAACTGGATCTGGCACTCGCGACACCATGCAATGAATGAACAGGTAGAAAAGCCATGACGCTAGCAGTATCTTCAATTTTTTTCGCAAATACCATGTGCCGCCCATAACGAAGTCATTCCACTTGCAACTTTCTCGTCCGCTCTCTTGATGACCTTAAATCGAACTCGGGTCCTCGCGCCGGACGCAATGAACGCAATAATTGTCGCCCACTTCATCATGTTGGCGGCAAGCTGGTTCGTTGTTCTGCATATGTTGCATGGCTAGTAGATAAGCATAAACATGGCCCTGCTTTTTGTTAGCGTCACCCCCTCCGTCATGTTCCTGGGATCCAATGAAAAGGGTGGTTGTTGTAGCTGTGGATACGGCGAACGTGTTGAGTTATACCTTACATTCTTGAATTCCTGGAATTACGGAGGGATACTGAGGAATACTGAGCCAGTAGCCATCTTAGGGGACCAATCACCTTGCATATTATGAAACCCAAACTGTGCTCCCTTGTGCAGATAAGCCTTGATGGCAATGCTTGCCAGCAGTATTGTAATCGTAATTGTCTTCAGCCACACTTTCAAGCTCCAGGTCACGGAGATACTATTCCGCCGCGTGGTGTAGAGAAGTGTTGTGAGTTGAAAGCTTCATATCGAGGCTGTAGTTACCGCATGGTATATTTCAGGCCGCGAGAAATGGATCGGACATGATCGGTGGCATAGTACTCCTGTAACCATCTGCTCAGTCGCATGGCGTGGGTGGGTGGCTAAACGGCTGTTAAGTTGCACTCACTTGTGCAATACTCACCGCTCTGTGATATGATTGATCATCATATTTGCCCGGTCTTCTTTGCGGACCGACCAATATGAATTTTCTTACTGTTACTATAGAGGAAGTAATCATTGAGGACTCGGACGATTTCGACATATTGAAAAGCAAAGACCCGCAAATAGAGTTACATGTTTTCTGCACAGCGCATTGATATCTTATCATTTAGGCATTTCACAGTACGGAGTACTGACCCTGAATTTCCGCGAAGTCAGATAGGATAACATATCCGAGGCATGATACGGAGCTGAGCAGTAACGGTGAAGAATACTATTCTCTTGCGACCATTTAGATGACGCGACAAGTATCTTCGCCGATGCACTGGCGTTTTCAAGATTCAGATCTCTGCTACACAGTGTGGCAAACCCCCTTCCCCCCCCACAAAGCACCACAGGGGTTGCACCCGCGCATGCAGAGCAATTCATTCCCAATGCAGAAAAGGCATGAATAAAACCTACGTATGATTTCTCATGCGCAATTGGAAAGGTGGTCCTCAGCAGCGGTACGTATCTTAACTAGCGGCGGCTGGGTGAGTGGTGGGGAAGCTTAGCTCCCTTACTTTACCATGTGTTACCATGTTGTCCGCCCTGTTTAAGGGGATACTTTCTTTCCCTACAACTCCCCGGGGTCTCAACTCTTGCTATTCGATATTTTCAACAATGCTGTATGTCATCAAAGGTCGGTCATGCAACCAATAAAAAGGATTATGACAGCCATCTCGGTTTGTCCATACTTGAAGGCTGTATTTGACCCCTGCAACTTCGACTTAGACAATTACAGCTGACTGGGAATGGCACGCTCAAGCATGATAGCGACAATTTTCTTAGATTGCTTGTTGTGCTTGAGAATACCTTACGAATTGCTTACAGAAGGAGGGAGGAATACCTTACCGTATGTACCCCGACGAATACCAAATCCGGGCGCTAGCATACTATGTACATTATTAGCACGGCAAAATAGATACCTGAGCCTTTTTTTCTTTTCAGCCCCATCGATAGTACCATTTCTCACACTTGTTTCCGAGTAAGTTACAGCTTATCATTCGATAAGGATCGTTCGCACTGGACCAAGTCCTATAGTGGTTCAATGAAGGGGGAGGGGCTAGACGAGGCCGCCGGACTATAGGCAGTAGGTATGTCACTGCCTACCACTCAGTACTAGCAGGGAAGACTATAGAAACGCCACTTGGGCCGCATCCCTTGGTGGTAGGGATGATGCATACTATATAGATTATTGGAATTGGACTGAAACACCGCGTTTCCTCATTTCATGTTGAAGGCATGGGAAACACGCGATTGACAAATTTGACAGGAGGAATAAAGAACAACCTGTCAAATAATCTTAAATTATTGCCCTTTGATTTGACCATATTGGTTCTTCATCGACCTGGAAAGCTGGAACCTGCTGTTTTCATGATTATTGACTGGGGATGTGCCGTTACCGAGCAAGGTACTTTAACTTACTGATGGAGTATTGTCCAAAACCGTGCCCCGGGCGGGAGAGACACCTTAATCTTGCCCTGATGGATAAGATGTTTGAGGCTGTCGCACCTCTTCACTCACGCTGATTCTTGGATTTCGGCCCAAGACTCAATTTCCCTGAAAGTTATGATATGGACTCGATAGTTGTCTGGTTCTCCATTCTGTCGGTTCGATCTGCATGCGACAACGACAATTCACAGTTACCCTTCCAGTCCTTGTAATGTCAATTACATGCGTTCAGTATTTGTTTCGCCCAGCTTCCTTCATAAGTATTACCCATGTCCTAGATAAAGTTCTACAGACGCCAATCAATGCGACAAGGTGAGCCATGAACGTGGAAGACATAGAGGTCATACTGAAACAGAAACGAGAATCCGTGGGCTCAGCCAATGCAGTGTCTGTTATCTTCACTCCAGGTAGGGGGCTGAGGTGTGCAGGCCGAAGTTTCGGATGTAGGCTTCATGATAGGTAAAGGAATTTCTCTTCCTTAGTGAGTAAGTCACCATGCCGTCCGGGGTTACTAGAAAGGACTAGGATAAACATAAATGTACAGTAACTTACAGGCATTTATGGTAGATGCACGGATGTGTTTGATCTGGGTTCTATCCAAATCTGCATTATTTCGGGATCCACAGGCAGTAAAAGGACACGCGATGACCAACACCTTTTTTGCCATCCGCTAGAGGCTTAAAGGCTAGAGGCTCGGAGGGACTACCCAGAATCCACCGAAGGGCCGCCCTGAACCATTCGATCTGTACCTGATTCTAATGTCCAGGTTCCTTGGGATTCCATTCCCGATCACTGTGAATGATTCATTTCTTCATTCGCACCAAAGAAGAAGAGGAGGAGGAGGAGGAGGAGGAGGAGGAGGAGGAGGAGGGGCATTTAGAAAACTCTAAAAAAATTCAAAGAATAGAGACCAGTCAATAACCACGATCGATACTATCATTGAGAATCTGACTGCCGATGACAATCACTTTGATGAGGGTTCTTCCTTCCAGTTTTACCCTAAGATGTCCTAATCTGAAAGCGGCCTTGTCTTTCTACTCAGTACCGTAGCCTGGAGCAGGTACTGTGAGGTTAGTGCTGCTCGATACCCGCCACACTACTGATACTTAACGTTAGTGTGGCTTAGAGAGGTTACGCTATAACTATTCAGGCACCTCGTTTGAACAAGCTACTACTAAATGGGGTTCTATCTATCAATTCAATCTTAATACAGCCCAATGCTATTAGGCGAATTATCCTAAAACATGCAAATACCATCAGAAATTAATTGAACAGCTGTGACTGGAGGCACCTCAGCGAAACACTATATCCTTGGGTATGTACGGTACATGTGTACTAAGAGTCATTTGTACCAACACGATGGTATAGTTCATTTCCTTTCGTTTGACAGATGATGAATTGCAAAGAAAGGAAAGAGAAAGAACAGAGGGAATAGGAAAAATCCAGAAAGAAAAGAAGGAGTAAAAGATAGCGAGAGAAAAGGAAAATCCTTCAATAAAAAAAAAGCCCCCCTCCCAAACAAAAACGAAACAAAACGAGCCGCCTTTAATCGGGTAGACCCGTTCGTTTCTCTGGTGCTAGTCGCACCCAGTACCAGTACCCAAGGTCCCAAACAATATACCTGGTCTACAAAGTCCACACCTTCCAGTCCAGCTCCGCAATCTGACTCTTTCTTTCCTACCCTTCCGGGCCGGTTCCCTTCTTCGTAACCTTCTTTATTTTTGTCTCAAACTGAACTTTTTTTTATGTATGCTCATATGCAGCCCCGTTCCAGTTCTTCCAATGGAGCCCATCACCTAAAGTAGAGCGTTGTACCCCCCCCCTTCTTCCCCCTCTATTTCCTCCGCTGCGACTATCACCTACCTGTATTTGTTCACCAAATACCACATCTTCTCCCCGCTCCCTCCGACAAGTGTTTCTCTTGGGCTAGGGCCCATGTCATGACTTGTGTTTTCTGCTTCGATAATAGATGGATTGCGCCTAGCAGATGTCCATGGACGAATCTCATCCGGGGAGAGGCCTAGGGTTTACCATCAGGAATCTATTTCGCTCCTCATCATTGTCCTTCCCATCTACGCGGCCACGAAGATCTCTCCTTCGAAGGGGACGCAGTGTGATTGATAGCAAGTACGCATTCGCTCGCCCTCTAGCCCTTCTACCCCTCTACTTCGGCTGTTCAGTCGTGGTTTCTTTCCCGTACAATACCACTTGCTGCCTTTCGTGCTTTTCACAGAGCAGAGCCTGATTTATGCCACTTCTGTCTCAAGTATCGAAACACCAGCCAAGGCCATCAGAAAATATCGAAATGAAATAGTATTGAGACCATGATCTTGAATGACTCAGAACTGACGCAAGTGAACATTTCCGCAGCAGAAATTCGATTGACCCCACGAAACGTGCTTCCGCTCCTCCAATGAATGATAATCAAATCCGCGAACCAGCAGCAATGATAGGACCTGCGGAATCGTCTACAGTCGGTTGCGACATCTTCGAATGGTACCCGCGCTATCAAAATTGTCAGCGATACTTCTTGGATGATGCGCAACACAGCGTCCCTGTTCAAGCGCTTTCCGCTTTTCTGAACATTCGTCTTCCATTCCAATGGGAATCCAATCCGGTTGCAAGCTCGAGCTCGAGCTCGAGCTCGTCCACCAATCACTCTTCAACAAGCGCCAACCATACAAGTACCCCTTCGGATTCATCTGGGCCGTCGACAGTGCCCCCTTCTGTCTCGCTGATTCCTTATATTCGTCGCCTAGTGGCTACTGGAATGGATTTTCCGGGGGTGCTTCAAGGATTCTTCGGGAACGAATGGGCCACCGGCATCGGCCCTCTGCACGAACAGGAGAGACGCAATTACCTCTTCGCAGCGAAAAGTGGGGGGTGGGCAGCTGTGAAAAAGGATTACGATATTGCTCCGCTGGAGACTATCCCATTTTTACGACCATTGCAGGGTCCGCTGGATTCAGAGATCGAGGCCGCGGAGAGGAGCTGGAGTGACTGGCTTGCCATGGAGGACTGGATGGTCGGGCCACGAGCGCCTGATGCCCTTCGCGATTCATCGTCTAACATGTCACGAGCGCAGAGCTCACGTGGCTGAGGCTTCTACTCCCTCGATCCAAATCTTCTCTCATTTCCTTGCCTCTTCTTGCTTTATCATTTTGCATCGATCCCCCGGGTTGACTTCTACATGTTGAACAATACCCAACGACTATGGGTGACAGTACGGAGTTTGGGGACCTCATAGCGGAACCCGTTTCTATTCTTTTAATATTCTTTCTGTTCTTCGCATGCCTGCCATGAGATGACGATCATATGAGTTCTTGAGCGTGATAGACTGGCGCGGGCCCACATTTTAGTTTTGGCTTCTATTATTGACTACGAAGCGCACTCCTTTTTGCAAGGGGCTATACTTGGATATACACGACCGAGGATTTTTGAAAACAGCAACCAATCAATGAATCATATGATAGGCGTTGGTATTTAGTATAGCATCAATGCACAGCTCTCGATTCCAAGTTGGAGATGTTGACTACCACATCTCTGAATTCTAGACATTGGTAGGGCTTGTCGTCATCGCTGGAACATGCTTTACTTGAATGCGAAAAGAACCGCGCCCCCTGAGCCCCCTACTACTGCGATCGCGGTTCACGACCCCAAGAACCTGGATGGCAGGGCCAACCTGGTGAGGATCGACCTCGACAAGTGTCTCGATTGGGCACCTACCTCCGGAACGATAGAAGTCTGAAACAAGCGAGACGACCTCTAGCGAGGCTGACAGCCCAGTAGTGCGCTGTGGAACACGGCATTGGTTCGGACGGGAACAATGTACCGAGGCGACTGGCGCTCACATCACGGATCGGTTAGAATCGTCATGGGGCCAGGTGGTGAGGAGAACGAATGTTCGTGTGCCTGCCCATTCGGAGTTTATCTGGGTCAATCGACTCGCACTGGACGAAGATTTACACTTCTGCTACAGTCCGTATTGCGTGAGACTGAGAAAGGCCGGCCCATTTTGGAGAGGTGACCCAGCCGTCCTGCTGCTGAACCTCGGTTTACAGGTGTAAACACATACCTAGACAGACTACTTACCATCTTTAATTCTCTGAGGGTTATCTGTGAAAGGGCAAAGGCAGATACATTTGAGATATGAGGCAATGGACCTATGCCATGCGAGTCGCACAATCCCCGGTCCGCTTGGATCGATCGATTTGAATTTTCCCATCTGCTGCCCGCCAACATTTACCTACCGATTACCATGGGAGGGGGAGATCGGAGCCGATGGGTTGGGATGACGAACCGCGCCCCCTTCCTTCTCCACCGGTCGGAACTCGTGGATCGGATCTGTGGTTATCGATCGCGTAGGGGGAGAGGGTGAAGAGGGGGGGGGGGGGAATCTCCTCTCATCCGGGTAGTAGCGTGGGTGGTTGTTCTTTTTTTTTTTTTTTTCTCTTGTTTTTTTCCATCGGGTTAGGCACAGTACATACACAGACATTAGTTGTTCTTGTGGTTCCTCGGCCCATTTGGTCCTTGGGGTTGTGTTGTGTCCCTGCAGGACCCAACGAAAACTGGAGGGAAACCTAGATCCGCAAGGCATAAACCGCACAAAACCCATACTCATAGATTGCAGTTTAAACTTCTTCTGGACTTATTCGATGAAGATCCCGCACCAGTGACTGGCGCGCGGCTGAAGAAGCGGGGGGGGGAGGACACTGTTGATTATACAAGATTTGTGGGCAGTCTCTTGTTTCTGCAGGCTAGCTCGGACATATCATGAAACCAGGTACGGAGGACGGAGTGGTGTTTTCAATTAGTCCAGATCTCTCCTCATGAAGGGAGGGGGTAAGGAGACCGGGACGGCAGACCAGGAAGGGGTCCAAACTGGTGGTGTTGTAACCAGTCGGTAACGGTTTCATACCCCGATCACTTACCATATGTAATGGACAAGACCTTACCGAAATATCTGGTACGTATTGGGTACTGAGTAGAACCAGAACCAGCCTATCTTCCAACTGTATGTGCACAGTACTGTGCCTCATTCTGCCAGTCAAATAAGAATCGTTTCGCAATGCATATATCCAGAAAGCTGCAGTGCTATACATTTTGAGTCCGCACTGGCATAGCAACTACAGAGAAGTACAATCACCTCGGATAAGTCACAAGCCGGCCGCTTTCACGTGCTCTCCTATATAAAAATACTTAAAGAGCAAAATACTATAAAACTATAAATACTTAATTAATTTATATAAAAATAGGCTTAAAATATTTCTAAATAGCTATTTAATTAATTTCTTAATACTTTGTATAGCCACCACGTACGGTAATATATACTAAATATTATTTTTATATAAAATTAATAATTTTTATAATTATTTTTCAGCTAATTATATTCTATTTATATTAAAAAATATAGTTAAACTCTGTAATATTAATAATTTTATAATATCGCTTAAATATTATAAGCTTTATATAATATTATATATTTTTAATTAGATTTAAATCCGGAAACTAAGCCGGCTATTCTATTTATTATATTTTTATAATATTTTAATAGATTTTTACTATTTTAATAATATATTAAATAGTATTATTTTTCTACTATAATATATTTCTATATTTTTCAGCTATTTTTTTATAATATAAATAGCTAAATTTAAAAAAAATTATATTTATATATTTAATAAAGTTTATTCTTTAGCCCGAAGTTAAAATATAAAACTTTTTGAATAAATTATATAATATTAAATTCTAAATATTAAATATTAATTTATCTAACTTAAAAAAAGACTTTAAATAGTTAGATTTATATAAACAGCTATATTTTTAGTATATTTAAAATAAAAATATAATAATACTAGTCTTTTTCTGTAAATTTAATATATTTTTAGATTTATTTTAATTAGATTATTTTTTATTTTTTAGTTAAAAATAGCTTTTTTCTCGGTCTAAAAATATATATTTTGTTTTTATATAGATATATATAAATTATACTAAAATAAAGAAGATAGTTTAATTTTAAAAAAGTAGCTAAAGCAGTCAAAGTTTTAAAAAAATTTTAGACTATATAATAAATTAAAAAATACTAATTTTTTATAAAAAGCTTTAAAAATCTGTTTTTATATTTTCGTCTTAGAATAAAATCTTCTAACTAAGTTTTTTATTTTTAAATAATATAAATAACTAAGAATTTTAAAATATCTATTAGTCTATTAATTTTAGCAGCAGAAAGCCCACTTTCTAAAAGCTTAAATAATAAATAAATAGCCTTATCTAAATATTTACGTCTTTTTATTTTAGGAAATCTAGACATCTTAATTTCTTGGGTAGATAAAGTAAGAAATTTAATAAAGTAAGAAATAATATAGTTAATTATAGATCACATGTGCTAAGAACTGGCTTGTAACTTATCCGAGGTGATTATACCAGAAGTGTATACACTACCTTGACCGGGTGTATCTGATACCCTGTACATGGGCTGATTTCACACCCATTGGCCTCACAAGCAGGGTGCTAACTCTTGGCTAGGATTACCTATGGTATGTGTCTTAGACATGCAGTCGTAGATAGAACTGATCCCATGTAGCCTGTCAATTAAAAATTAGACTTCTTCTGCAGAGGAGATATTCCCCGGGCTAGCTCTTTGTGTTTCTCATTCGCTGTCAATCGTTCTACGAGTAGGGATAATTCTCCCGAGAGACGAGAGCATACTACCTATCCTATGTGATATCCAGCGGTTGTATTCAATAGCTGCAGCAAACTCACGAGACTGACTGTACTTCTTCTGCGCCTGTCAGATAGCGTATGTACTTGAGGCCCTGGTTGATACTCGTCCTTGCTTTGCTGTCTTCATCGTTCCCTTCCTTTTACGCCTCTCGTTTCGATATTAGAGATGATCTTTGTTTTCGTGCAACTTTCGTGTCGGCTTGTGTTACAATCAATTTTTGGTAGTATGTTATGATTGCCAGTCTTCCAATGTAGAAGACTTCGATACGATGTCAGTCAGTCAATGAGACAATAGCTTGTGCCAGAAGCAAGTGCAACAATGATGGGCTCGCCGATAATTGTCAAGCCTGAGCTTCATACTTCTAGCTCACCAGCCCCATAGTTCTAAGTTGTGGGGTGTCCAATCCGACACATCGAGCCTACAACAATGCAATGGACAGTAGGAATGTATTTCGACAATCCATTATGCTAATTGTTCACACAATATGAGATCTTGGTCGCTCTTAATCTGATGAATGAGCTGCACCAGAAAGCCCTTCTGATAAGGGAATGAGTTCGGTGGTGTGTTGTCAGCTTCGAAGATGTTTCCAGACTGAAAGTTCTGTTCTTTCTAATTGTCTGGATTCCATTGAATGATCCGCATACGGACGAATAGCTGGACTATGTAGCACATGGCGAGCCTCGATGTGCGAGAAGTGACATTACACTCGAGACATGGCTAGTATATGACATGGTAATGGCAGATCTGGGACTGATGTCTAGATTTGACATTCCGCCAACGTGCCCGCATGTCTTTCGTTGCTGCTTCCTTCTTGGCTAGCACTGGCACGAAGTATGGCCTGCCCCTGTCCGTGTGTCATGTGAGCGCGGCGAGAGTATAGACCCCCCCCCTCTTTCCCACCTGCTCGTCTCCAAACTCGAGGCGGTTAAGGGCTAGGCGCTGGAGTGAGCGAGCGATGAGCGCAATGACATGTACAGGAGTGAGTGGAGCACGCTCCAGAAGCTGCGCAGTTTCAGTAATGCAGATTAGCGAGATCGTTTGTGTTGGAATGCAGCTTGTTTCCAGAACCACGCTTTATGCATGCATGGAGTCCTCGAGCGCCTGGCCCCCCCGAGGTGCTAGGATGGCGGCCCGCACAGCCTATTTCGCATTCTGTTTTAACATGCAGGTATTGCCTGACCTTGGTTCATGTACTTCGCTAGCTCGCTACGCACATGCCTGACTCAATGTACTCGGGCAGTCGTTATTCGCAGAAGCAAATATAGAGTGTCCTCTTGTATTGTTCTCAAATTCCTGAAATGATCGTAGCGTAGGTATGCTGATGATCCCTTTGTTGTTGCTTTCCGCTCCGAGCGGGATCTCGGACGACACTTGTCCCCTAATGCGTCAAACGAGAACAACAGGCTAAAGAACCAGGCTGTAATTGATGGATCCTTCGAAGTCCTCAACAGGTCAGTGAAATGGGAACCCCAGGCCGATAAAGCGTGGTTCACTTGATTGGTGGTATAATCACCAGGGAGACTGATGCCGACATCGGATCCTACTTTGCCCCTGGAGGAATGCACTAACGCTAAGAAAAGTACTGCCGCTGATGGTGAGAGCGGAAAAGGACAGCAGCGCATGGCTAGTGTAGTTTCCCTTGCCTACCTACTGACAAGTACCCTGTAGTGTATCTCATTGGCTAGCAGGCGATGTTAAGTAAAATGAAAAAGTAATCATGGTAGATATCGACGCGTCTTGTGGCGTTGAGCCTGATGTGATTTTCAATTCACCTAACCCAATTGTATGTGATCGAAGTTGCCCTGGTGCATAAGGTACTTTCCCCGGATCTCGCATCTTACTCCCCCCCCCCATCTTCCCCAACAACCAAATGGATCAAAGACAGTTGCCTCCCCCAGATAACCAAGAAAAGACCAATTCGGGCCAGAATCCCTGTCAACAAACCCCGACCACCGACGGATGCATTAGTGGGGGGGGGGGGGGGGTTTGGGGGGGGGTTTGTGATCTTAGAGGCGTTAGAGACTTAGAGTTAAGACACCGCGTGCGCATTCCGCTCGGATGGCCGTACTCGGGCGAGTCGGCTCAGGGAAGGGAGTGGGGGAAGGATGATTAAAGAGGTTTAGTGCCAAAGTTTCTTCAGCACCTGCCAATGTTTAAGCCTGCCTGCACCGCAGATTCCCTCCCATTTCTCGAATTCGAGCCGTGAGTGAGCAGTGAGCACAGACGGGACAGCCTTAGTGCCACCCTCTCGGGTCACGGAACTCGGCTACTTATCTATGACAATTGCACCGTGTCATTGGCTCTGATACCGTCGAGATAAGGACGGACAAGGGTCTTGGATTATGCTGATTGGCTCCGCAGTCACTGTAACTCGATTGGAATTGGTAACCTTGAACTTCCCCCGGCGCCATCACATGTGCCCCCCAGGTGAAGTTTGGCCAGTCAGCCGCAACCTAAAGGTTTCCTTGCTGCTGGGGCTGGAATTTTCATCGACCATTTGTGTACAGTACAATGACCATGACACCAATGTGATGTCGATGGCTTTCGAGTGCCCTAGAAGGTAGGGATGTGCCATTCTGCTGCGTTGCCTTTTTTTTGGTTAGCAAAGCGGTCTATACTACTCATAGGCAGATTTGTGATTAGGCGATGGGCAGTTTACCGGTGAGACGGACAGAGCAAGGCCACAGATGGTATGATCGCCCGGTGAACCGTGTGTTATACTTGCCCGCCTTCCCGTACCACCACCACCAGCCAGCGGCGGCCATCTCTTCTTCCCCCCTCCCTCCCCCCCCCCGCTGTGTCCACTGTCCACGACCCTACTCAGCTCAGCTCACCGGGAAGCCGGAGTCTCCCGACAGTTAACGATTCATCCTGTTTTCGGAGAGAACACCCAACAACGATGTGCTTCCTAGTTCTGAGACAGGCGAATTCCAGTCTTCAGAGGGCGCACTCTACGTAGAGATGATCGGGTTGATAGTGCGTAAAACAATCAGATAAGACTTTCGCTTACACGTGGGGCACACTGCACTTGGGGGATCTGAGGATCGATTCCGAGGTCACGTGCCGTCGATAGGCCTGCAGGGAGAGGCTTGGCATGCATTTCACATCGTACAGTACATGTACATGATGGGTTGGGAAGGGGAGCAGACCAGAAGTCCACTACTACTACTACTACTACTACTACTACTACTACTACTACTACTACTACTACTACTACTACTACTACTACTACTACTACTGAACAATAGTCAATGAACCCAAGAACAGCCCGGAGTAGACTACGTACGTTTCATCCAAAAAAAAATCTCTTAATCCAGCTCGCTTAGAGCCTTGCATCCCGAGAGATTCCTTGCCACACGAGGATTTCCCGGGAGGACTGAAAGCGGCGAGAGGGGCGGGTTTCCGCCGATAGATAACGGGCGCAGATTCTGTGACCATAAACTATCGACTAACACTGCCCCGAACTTCGGACGCCCACCCGGCATTGCTTTGCCGTGATTAGTCCCGCTGCCGTTGACTGCCTTACTACTTTTTCCTCTCCGGCGGGGACTTCTCTACTGTGTACGTTTCGTCCGACTCCGGCTGTTACTGTACACCTTTTTGGTGTTTCTTTGATTTTCCCGTTTCCTTTTTTCTTTTCTTTCTTTCTTTTTTTTTTTTTTTCTTTCGTTTTGCCGTCCGGACAACCCTCTTCCGCTCCGACCCAGTGGCACCCACCATCCACTGCTACCTACCATGACTGCCACCACAAACCCAGTCCGGGGTCGGGGGTAGAAGCAGAAGAGGAGGAGGGGGAGGGGAGGGGAGGGGGACTGAAACGGGAAGGGAAGTGCAGAAGGGGGGAAACCCGGAAGAAAAAGAGGCAATGGGAAAGATACATAAACCAACCCATTCTCTCTCCTCCCTCATCTCTTTCTCTTTCTTTCTTCCCATCCCCATCCTCCATCTCTCTCCCAGACCAGGTCTTAAAAAGTCTTGTCGGGTATCCTTTGGGTCATTCTTCTTCTTCTTCTTCTAACAACATCATACTAAATACTTTCTTCCCTCCCTCATTCACCATGTCCAACCTTCCCGTTGAGCCCGAGTTCGAGCAGGCCTACAAGGGTATGTTCTTCTATCAATCCAAATAGCTACCCAATTTGTTTCCGCTGTACCTAACAATCCCCCCCCTTCACAGAGCTTGCCTCGACCCTCGAGAACTCCACTCTTTTCCAGAAGAACCCCGAATACCGCAAGGCTCTGGCTGTCGTCTCTGTCCCCGAGCGCGTCATCCAGTTCCGTGTCGTCTGGGAGGATGACCAGGGCCAGGTCCAGGTCAACCGCGGTTTCCGTGTCCAGTTCAACTCCGCCCTCGGCCCCTACAAGGGTGGTCTCCGCTTCCACCCCACTGTCAACCTCTCCATCCTCAAGTTCTTGGGTTTCGAGCAGATCTTCAAGAACGCCTTGACTGGTCTGAGCATGGGTGGTGGTAAGGGTGGTTCCGACTTCGACCCCAAGGGCAAGTCCGACAACGAGATCCGCCGCTTCTGCGTTTCTTTCATGACTGAGCTCGCCAAGCACATCGGTGCCGACACTGATGTCCCCGCTGGTGATATCGGTGTCACTGGCCGTGAGATTGGTTTCCTCTTCGGCCAGTACCGCAAGATCCGCAACCAGTGGGAGGGTGTCCTTACTGGTAAGGGCCTCACCTGGGGTGGTTCCTTGATCCGCCCCGAGGCTACCGGTTACGGTGTTGTCTACGTATGTTATCCTTCCGTTTCTGGCATCACAGGCGCATTGTGCTAACAGGACATCGCAGTACGTTGAGCACATGATCCAGCACGCCACCAACGGCGCTGAGTCCTTCTCCGGCAAGCGCGTCGCCATCTCTGGTTCCGGTAACGTCGCCCAGTACGCCGCCCTCAAGGTCATTGAGCTCGGTGGTTCCGTTGTTTCCCTGAGCGACAGCCAGGGCTCCCTCATCGTTGTCAACGACTCCAGCTTCACCCCCGAGGAGATCGCTTTGATTGCCGACCTCAAGGTCGCCCGCAAACAGCTCGCCTCTATCGTCTCCGAGGGTGTCTTCGCCGACTCCGCCAAGTTCAAGTACATTGCTGGTGCTCGTCCCTGGAAGCACGTTGGCAAGGTCGACGTTGCCCTTCCCTCTGCTACCCAGAACGAGGTTTCCGGCGAGGAGGCGCAGGCGCTGATCGATGCTGGAGCCAAGTTCATCGCCGAGGGTTCCAACATGGGCTGCACCCAGGAGGCCATCGACACCTTCGAGGCCCACCGTCAGGCCAACGCCGGCAAGGCTGCCATCTGGTACGCCCCCGGTAAGGCCGCCAACGCCGGTGGTGTCGCCGTCTCCGGTCTCGAGATGGCTCAGAACTCTGCCCGCCTCAGCTGGACCTCTGAGGAGGTTGATGCCCGTCTCAAGGACATCATGCGCTCCTGCTTCAAGAACGGTCTCGAGACCGCTATTGAGTACGCCACCCCTGCGGAGGGTGTCCTGCCTTCCCTGGTCACCGGTTCCAACATCGCTGGTTTCACTAAGGTTGCTGCTGCCATGAAGGACCAGGGTGACTGGTGGTAAATGCTTCGCATCGTCGGTGAGATGGTGCTATGATGATGACTTTTCTTCTCCCGTTTTGTTTCAGCGCATGGATAGAGGCGCCGGTTGCTTTACTTCATAGTACATATTTACTATACCTTTTTCACAATCATGAATCATGAATGTCAAATCAATGGTCATTGCTATGCGTAATCACTAGTCCTCGCATCTAGTTCCACGGAGACTCATGTAAGCCCGCCGCAACATAGATCTTAAATGATAGTCCCACATTCCTGTAATAAGCTTTCGATCGGGTCTTGGCTTGGAGATATGCTGACAAGAACAATCTAACTTACTGACGAGGTGCTCCTAGGACTCGAGGGGCTTTCCGCCTTCCTGCTCAGGCCGGTAGGAGGTCCCCCCATTCATCTGCCCTCCTTGCCAACTATTCATCTCTTGAATGATCAAGGAATCCAGACATCCAGACATCTTACTCCGTACAGATCAACTCACCCCCACCATTTGAGTAGTGCTCACTACGCATATGCAGAAGATGATAACGACATTTCCCTCCAGACACTCACCACGAGCTGAGAACATACATACTACATCTGCAAGGTTCACCAAGCCGAGTCAAAACCATCACGTCACGTAGATAGGTATTATGGACGTACATACGAGCTCTCGTTGTATTCCAAACTTGCATCGGGCTCTTTCACTGCACTGCATTATTGTTGGGCGCCTCGAATCTATCTGCTTCTGCTTGAAACCGGGTGCCCGGAACCTCGCGAGGATAATACGTTTGGTTTGTTGTTGCACCTTACCTAACTTGGTACACAACAAGTTGACTGGGTAGTGCTTTGGATACAGGGTGGAACGGGGTATGGTATCACTGTACGTTACAGGTGGTACAGTACATGACAGGAAGTTACCATAAGGTATTAAATTACGTTACAGATTCAAGTACGGGTAGTCACCTCACCTCAAAAGTTGTTGAAGTGCCGTGGCATTTGCGACTAGGGTTCCCGCACGCACAGCCACTGCCTGGACGAGCCACAGGCCTGTGACAGACATTGACAGACCCACCCGGGGTTGTCCGTACCTGACTGTACGTCTTAGATCTTAATTGTTGAGTCGAGCGGCATGAGACAGTTGGGGACACTATTACAGTAGACAATATGTTCAACCATGAAGTCTTCGAACTCTATATGTATAGACTGTTCGACTCTATCAGGGTACTTTGATTCGTAACCCTGCTTCGCTGTACACAATCGTCGACAATTGTCTTCCGAAGTATAACTATATGCTGTAGCGAGCGACTCAAATGACGCTTCAACTGATGTCAACGCTACCACGGTGCGACGCTGTTGATTTGTCATTCCAAATGCTAATGCAACCTGACGCCATGCTAAATCCAGGATCAAACAAAATATTAAACAATGTATGGGTATCACAAGGCATATCCCCAAGGGGAGAAAACAACAAAGCCAATCACCCCGTCAGTTGCACGGTCGGTAGCGGATCCAAGAGCACACTGCGCCGTCGCGACAGCACTCCTCCCATGGACGGATTGTCCTTGGCACGCGGCACGCCGCGGCTACGGCGGCGAGGATGTCGCAGATGTTCGTTGGGCACCGGGTCCACCTGCTTCTTGGCCGCCGGTACGAGGTTCAAATATATTGGAAATATGGCGCCCGCGGCGGAGACCGCCACGAGAACGCTATACGAGTAGGGTACGCCGCCTACCAGTTGCGCTGCGTACTGCGCAAACGGGAAGATACCACCGCCCCCTCCGATGGCCATCGTCAGCAAACAGCCGGCTGTCTTGGTATGCCGTCCCGTGCCCCGCAAAGCGATGGCAAAACTGATACTGAAGGCACCGCTTTCGAACAGATATACAAGCTCCGCCATTGTCACCGCCGTGAGGCCGGTAGTATGCATGCATAGCGCGGCGCACACAATCATGCCAATGTAGGACCACAGCAGAATCCAGCGTGGCTTCAGAAACCATTGCAGAAGAGCGGCTAAAAAACGCCCTACTGCAAAGACTGTGTGCCCAATGGTCAAGAATTCGAAGGGGCTTAAGGAAGCGCTGTACCCACTTTAGTGAAATGAGCAAAAGGAGATCAGGATAGGAAACTCACTTTGGATGAACCTCCTCGACAAAACGCGCGAAGCTCATGGACAAGACTTCTTGGCCCGCGACATACATGAACACGGACCATATACCCAGGCCCAGTGTGACCCAGACCACCGGCAACCCCGCCACATGAGCACGATTGTCGGATCGCCGACGGTTTGCCAACTCTTCCAAATCAGCATCGGAAGCCTCCGGAACAGGCAGGTAGTAGAAGACGAGGGCCAGGATCACGTCGAATAGAGCGATGCCAAGGTAGGTCCACTGGACGTCTACCAAGGAGGATACATCAGTAACCTTTTTAAACAGAACCTTTTTCGCCAGTAGCTGCGAAACAACACTGCCAACAGCCTGGACACCCTGTGAGATGTTGAGACGAATCTCGGAGTTTTCGAGCGGACCGCATAGAGCAATGAACGGGTTGCCGGCTGTCTCAAGCACGGCCAAGCCGAACCCGACAATAAAGTTGGACACAGCGAACGCTGAATAAGAAGTCAACACAGCGGAGGGCCAGAAGATGAGGGAGCCGCATGCGTAGATGCAGAGGCCCGTTATGAATGAAGCCTTGAAGCCCCAATGTTTGAGCACCGGACGGCCCACAAGCGGTGGGCCCAACAGATACCCACCGTAGTAGGTCGCGTGCAAGCCGTATGACCGATATACACCAAGATGTAGGATTTTCTTGAATTGCTCATTCAGCATGTCGAGCAATCCATAAGCAAAGCCCCAGAGGAAGAACAAAACAGTGGTGAACGCGATCGGTGTGATGGACTCCTTGTTGCTCAGCTTGAGCATGTTCGCGGGCTGTTTCATATTGACGAAGTCGAAGAAGGTGATACTGGGCGGGTAGGAGGAATTGGTCACTGTGTTCGTGCGCTGCTCCACGTCGGTCGCTTCCGCGCCTGATTGGGGCGGCGGGGCGGCCAGAAACTCCGTCAGATCGACGCGTGCGTCGCTGCCAGCCTGACTGCTCCGACTCTCCGACTGGGTGGGTTTAGGGTTAGGGGTTCCATTTGACGGGGCAGGTCGGGGCACAGAGTCCCCGACTGCAATGGGCGCCAGCGCCTGTAGCGGTTGGGTGCCAGGCGAAGAGGCCTGATAACTTTCGTCGGTGTCGCGAATGAGCTTGGGAAGCAATCGGGCGACGAGCGGCTTGAGGCTAGGAACGCAGGCGCATATAATGGACACATTGACTTCGATGACGGACCACATAAAGGAGAATGCCGCGTACCCTAAAGCTTGAAGTTAGAGGTAGACGAAGATGCAACCACGGGGCACAGTTGACTAACAGCTCAAATCGTCGCCGGGGGTACCCTGGAGGTGAACTTCTTTGAGGGCGATCTGACGGGAAGTCGCAGCATCTTGAATGTAAGCGATCCGAATGACATCAACTACGGCGACAAAAAATCCAAAACTGAATGTGATGACGATAATGATTTTCTGCTTGCGCGGCAGGCGCATTCGCGTAAGAATGGGATTCGGTAGGCAGAGGATGGCCAGGTCGGTAATGATGTTGACTGGGGAGGAGGATAGATAGAGGGTGAGGATGTCAATGCACTTGGCGCCGTCGGGCAAGGGGTATGCGACAGCAGCACTGACTGGACGACACTGGAAGACGTTGACAAGGGTGAGGGCCAGGCCAGCGGCATTGACGACGAAGAGGGTGACGTAGGTGGCCCAGCGGAAGATCTTTTCGCCTTGTGTAAGGGTCAGGTAGAAAACAAGGATGGAAGTTTTGATGGCCATCAAGGTTGGGTTCTGGGTCGTCCGTGAGCCGAGCGCAGAGAGCAGAAGCGGAGCGGAGGACTCACGTAAAGGACGGTAAAGGCGTAGTCGGCGCGATTGAGGCCGGGCCGTTGCTCGGGGCGAATATTGACATCGTGAAGTCCGAGGCCTTGGTGGGTAGCATAGAAGAGGGAGAAGGAGAAGCCGAAATCAAGGACCTGGGAGGGTTGTTCGGGAGTATGGTCAGTTCGCTTATCGCCCAGTATGGAGAAAATCGATATGGTGGATAGATATACCCAGGCCAAAAGCATAAGATAGTCATGCAGGGCAATTTTGCGAACTATAAAAAGGCGAGAGACGAAGCGTAAGGCAACAAAGACCGTGGCGACAATAAAAAAGACAATTGAGACGGTTAAAACAGTCGGTCGTTGGTCTTCCATCACGGAGAGAGAAGAGGGGGAGAGCGGAGGAGAGCGAACTCGGAGGGAGCGGAAGAGTCGGTTAGAGGCGGGGAGGAGGAGAAGAAGGAGGAGGAGGAGGAGGGGAGGGAGGCAGGCCCATGATTGACTTCTCGCTCGATGGATTCACGGCATGGAGGCAGATAGATGTGTTGAAAAGAGAGTGTGGGTGGTAAAAGGAGAAGGAAAAGAGAAAAGAGAAAATAAGAATAAGGTTGAGGGGATGAAGCGGAGAAAAGGAAGAGGAGAAAGAGTTGGAGAGGAAAAGAAGGCAGGCAGGAAAGCAAGTAAGCAGGAAAGAGGAAAATAGACGAGAGGGAAAAAGAGGGAAAAAGGATGGAACCTCCAAGTTCCAACCACGCAACTTGGAAGGCTTACTCGACAATTTAATTTAAAAAATACGGAAGAAAAAAAAAATAAAATAAAATATGGCAAATTAAGTAAGCTAAAGCAATCGCACTGAATCTTGATCGACAGTCACTCTTCCAAGTTAAAGGAGTTATTTCACTACAGAGTACGGAGTAGCAAGACCAACAATTGATTGATGGAGGGATGGAGGGATGGACAGTAGAAAATGGTAAGGATGAGAGAGAAGAAGGAGTATTTCTCTTCACCCCCTCGCGTGGCATTTCTTACATAGACGGACCCGTTACGGAGTAGTTATCATTATCCGCAGTAGGAATTTGTTCCTGGCCGATCGACTCTTTAATGTTTAATAGTACGGTGTGATAGATTATCTGCATGGGGATCTTCATTTGGTCTCCAGATTGATTTGTGCACTATACTACTTCAGTCCTCTTGTTGAATGGGGGCCATTGCTTGATTTGTTTAGCGAGGTCTTTTATCCCCCGCAATCTTTGCTGCCATCGGATGACAAGCTGACAACTTCTGCTACATCATAAAGCCCTAACCTAACCACCGCTGATAATGCTCTCTTCATCAACCAGGATCTTCCGCTTCGGTGGTCTTGTTGCTATCACATGGTCCCATCCATCGCCTCTATTATGGGTTAAATCAGCCAATTCGACCCGAAGCTCGGGGCATATGAACACTCCTGCACAAACAACTCTTGTATAAAGAACCGACCTTGGGTCTTCAATCTCCCTTTCTCGATAACGGCTCGGCCCTCTCTTCACCATGAACACTGCGATAATCCTTGTGACCCTACTGACGGCTGTAGCTGTCTGTCAGGATCACGATTACTGGGTTGACCGAGTCTGGGGGGAGCTGCAGCAGGCTGTGACGTGTGCAACCTGCGAGGTGAGCGGAACGCTAGCCGAGATGACTGACTGGCCATGGATTGATATTGGTTGCAGATCCTGTTAGGCACATTGAAGGCAGTGGCGCATCAGGGCCCGGATGTTCTGAGAGCAGTCTTGGAGGAGGTGTGCACGCAGGCCAAGGTAGATCGATCATCTCTTTGTCTTGTTGTCTTGTTGTCACTCTAAATCGCCGAGTCCAGATTGCCGATGCCGATGTGTGCCAGGGCACCGCGGCCGCCCAAGCGCCCAGCGTCTTTTACATCCTCGAACAGCTGCAGATTGAATCGGTGACCAGTCGGTTGATGTGCGCCAGCTTGGGTCGCTTGTGTCCGTGGCCTGAGATCGATTTCAATCTGACTCTGCCACCCGAGCCGCCGAGCCAGCCCATCACGAGGAGCGTCAACGATAATATAAGGGAGGGTGAAAATCGAACCGTCCGCGTGGCCCATCTCAGCGACACGCACGTTGACCGCTTCTACACGGCGGGAGCCAGCTATGCCTGCTCGAAACCCATGTGCTGCCGGCCTTATACAGCGGCTGATGCGCCCAACAGCACGCTCTTCCCCTGCGGTGACTGGGGCAATCCCCGGTGCGATCCTCCCATTCGCCTCCTGACTGACAGTCTATTACCCGTCCTGCAGGGCCTTCAGCCTCCGCTGGCCTTCACGTTATTCACCGGAGACGTCGTCCCCCACGATTTCTGGCTCACCAGTCGAGCCTCCGTCGAAGCCGACTACAACACCACGTATACAGCCCTGCAGCCCCTCACCCGCCAGGGACCCGTCTATCTCGCCATCGGCAACCACGACACCTCTCCGATCAACCTCTACCCAGTCTCTCCCACGCCATCCTCGAGTCTGACGCCGCAATGGGCCTACGACCTCTTCGCCTACTGGTCGAACCGCCTCTCCCTCCAACCGAGCCTACCATCACCAGGCCCCCAACCCAAGAACCACGGCAACTACAGCATCCTGCACCAGCACCACCACCACCACCACCAAACCAAAACCCCCCAAACGTCCCCACCACTCAAGATAATCTCCCTCAACAGCCTCCTCTACTACCGCCTCAACATCCTCAGCTACACGACCCCCCCAACCCCGGACCCCCTCTCCCAATTCGCATGGCTGACCACCGAGCTCCACCAGGCCGAACGCCACCACCAGCGCGTCTGGCTCCTCACGCACGTGCCCCCGGGCAACTCCCACATGCTGCCCTGCTACGCCCGCGCCCTGAACCGGATCATCGAGCGCTTCCGCGCCACCATCGCCGCCATCTTCTCCGGACACCGCCATCTGGATCTCTTCCAGGTGTACCACCGTCACCTTAGCCCCAACAATGCCTCAACCATGCGCAGCAGTCGAATGATCCACAATCCCAGCCGCGAAGCCGTAGCCATCAACTACATCAACCCCAGCCTCACGTCCGAGCGCGGCCGCCCGGCCTTCCGGCTCTACGACGTCGATCCCGCCACCTGGGCGGTGGTGGATTATATGGTCTACGTGGCGGACTACGAACCCTGGGGGGCCGGGGCCGGGGCCGGGGCCGCCTCGTCTGCCGGACTGTCCCATGGTCACGATGTCGATGGTCACGCTGCTGATGGACATCACCACCCAGCCCATGGGGGCGCAAAGCTGACGTGGAAGAAGTACTACTCGGCGCGCGAGGCCTACGGTACCGACACGGAGGAGGACGGGCTCTCCCCGGCGTTCTGGGATGAGCTGACGGTGCGCATGGCCGGGAATGAGACGCTGTTCGAGGAGTGGTGGGCGCGACGCACGCGGGGCAGCTGGGTGAAGCCGTGTCACGGGATATGTCGGAGGCGGGAAATCTGCTACATGAGGGGTGGGCCGGACGACGGCGAGGGCGAGGGGTGGGAGGGCTGTCCGGGGAGTGTTCTCACCACGCGCGGTCATGGGAATGGCGTTGCCTGGATGGGGCGGTGGATGATGGAGTAGGTACCGAACGTTGTTGTGATCGTGCAAGGTGGACGACTACACACAGTGGGAGGGGCATGGTAGAGTGAGTACTAGTAGTGGATTGACTTGCCGAGTTTGCTACGGGTCGATCTCTGGATGGAAGAAGTCCTACTGGTAACTTGAACTTACCGCCCACTTTTTCCCAGTCCCTCGCTTTACTTAATCCCAGTTACTTGCTTTACTTGATTCCAGAGATAAGATGAAGAAAGAATGCAATCTATTCAGACCATCGCGCCGCGACGGGTTCGTTCCATTCTCCCAGATATCTCAACAAAAAGATATGCACACGAAAAAAAAAAAACTGGCAGCAGGGTAATCATTCTATCCATAAATCACATTTCCTTCACTTCACACATCTACTGGATATACCAGTCGACACCGCTGACACGGCCGGCACCCAGTTCGGCCAACTCGAGGAACAGCGACGAGGACAGATCGATGGAACCCTCGGTACAACCCATGCAGGTGTCGACGATGGTACCGGTGGCGGTCTTGCCGCCGTAGTTGATGGTCACCGTCTTGCCACAGTAGCTCTTCTGCATGATGGTGTGGGACAGAGCCAGGACGTGCTCGCTGTCGGTGTTGGTCTCGCCGCAGGATCCCAGACCGACCTCGTAGTAGGTGATGTCTCCGCTGCAGGGCGAGGACTCGGAGCAGACGCCAGAGGAGCCGGAGCCGGAGCCGGAGCCGGAGCCGGAGGAGCTAGCGCTGGTGGTAGTGGCGGCAGCAGCAGCGGTGGTGGAGGTGGAGGTAGAAGAAGAAGAGGTGGTGGTGGTGGTGGTCCAGGCCGAGGTCGTGGAAGTGGTGGAGGAAGTGGTGGTGGCGTGCCACTGCTCAGTGGTCGAAGTAGCGACGCTGGTGGTCCACTGCGGAACCTCGGGGGTCCAGGTGAAAGAGGGCACGGCGGGGGCGGTCCAGACGGGCTGTTCCCATCCAGCAGTCGTGGAAGTAGTGTGGGAGCTGTGGTGGGAGCTGTGGTGCGCCTGGGTGTGATCGGCGACCTTGTTCACAGCGTCGTTGGTGGCAGTAGGCTCGACAGTGACGGTGGTGGTCACGTCGACGGTGGTCCAGACAACAGAGGTGACGGTCTCGATCTCAACAACCTGGTCGCGCTTGTCGACGGGGGCGGCCGAGGCGAAAGCCGCAAGCAGGGAGCCAACGAGGGCAAGAGACTTGGTGATGGGAGCCATTGCTTTTTTGAATCGTGGAGTTTGACGAGGGGTATCGGGTTGATTTTTTTTTTGAGTCTAGAAAGCGGGTTGCTTGCTTGCTTGAGGGGATGTCTATCTAGACGAAGGACTGGCTGACTCTGGTCGACAGAGGAATTGGAGGATCTCGAAGATAAGGACTGACTGACTGACTGCACTGCAGTACGATAGCAAAGCGAACCCAAGGGAGTGTGGGTGTGAAAGAAGGAACGACAGACGCTGCTGGTTGAGGAGCGAGAAAATGAAGGAGAGGAGAGACCGAGAGGGGCAGCCCTTTATAAAGTATGGATGGAGGGGGATGGAGGAGGGACTGACAGTCAGGGCCGGGACCGTCTAAGGAAATCCGACTGGTGTTAGTGCACTAGTGTTCGGCTACAATAAAACGATTTTTTACTTTAAACTTTTCTTTTTTTTGGGAAAAAAAAAGATTTTATTTATTGAATTGAAATTATAAGAGTGAATATTATACGTACTCGTCATAGTGAAAAGTAAAAAAGGTGAAGGGAGAAAAAAAAGGAGCTAACCCACCGCAGGTGAGTTTGTTCACCTTTGAGGAAGGGAGCCCTGAGAGCCCTGAGTGTACTGCCAATCATCCATAACAAGCGTTGTCCCTGGCAGAGACCACCCCAGTCAAACCACCAACCAACAGAAAGGATTGGCCGGAGTTCAGGCCCCCGCAGGCTGGCCCGACGGAGGGAGACCCACTGCAGCAGCCCAGCTCGTGAACGCCCCGATCAACTGGTCAGGCACGGAACCAGTCAAAAGTCAAAACCACACTTTTGGCAACTGCGGAACCTGAACAGTACCTCAGGATTCAGGAACTGTCCTACCAGGCTACCACTCGACTGTAGGTACAGTACACTCCGGAATATTGTACTCGTACTCTGTCTGTCTGTCTTACCCTCCATGCCTTTACCCACTTCTCCTCACCGTCTCTCCCAGGGACCTACTACTGTTCACTGGGCACACTCTTCCCCTCTTTTCCCCCTCTTCCCCCATCTACCAATAACTCCTCGTCTGCCACCTCATCAACATGTGTTTTACCGCTGGCCACGCCTCGTATTGGACATTTGAGAAGAAAGGAAGAATGACGTGAACTGTACAGAGTACAGTCATTCAGCGCGTTCCTGAATGCCGACTGATCGACTGATTGGCGGGCCCCTCGATTGGCGCCGGTGTCTCAGCCAGGCGGGTTTGGAGGGCGACTAAGTGAGCTGACTGGTCGCCGCATTTGTTAGGTCTCCATTGACTTTTTCGGTGCTGTGGCTTGTACCTGGCCCGTATTCTTCGTCTTCTTTCTTCTTCTTCTCTGCAGGCACCAGGGCCCGTCCAAGGCCCAGGGCGGCATCGATCGGTCATTTTGATCATTTTATTGTGATGGACCCCCCTTTCCCTTCTCATTACCAAGAGTCCAAGACCAATAAATCCCACTCAGCCACAAGCCACATCCGATTGACTACTAGTACAGGTACTCATAGAAACGGTGCCTGACGGGACGGCATGCACAAATTATCATTATTTGGGTGAGCCTCAGTCAAAAGAAGACTTCAAA